AAGTTCAGATTTTCACGAAATTGTATATTTTCACATGACAATTGTTTCGACAACACCGTGTCTTTATCAAATGTAATATTTACAAACTACCTGCTACTATATATACCGAAAAATGACCAACACCTTAATTAATGTTGTTGTGAGAATTTCTCATTGCATGAAACATACCAACATATCCTATTTTTCAGAATTTTCACATACTGTCATTATCATAGAAAATTTATTAAAGTAAAATAAACACATAAAGAACAATTGGATATGTAATAAAAATATAACTAAAAACTGACAGTCGCATAAATTTTTGACACAATTGCTTTTTTGTTTTCAATAGATGAGTTATAGCCAACTATCTACTATCTACTTAACATAATAGTTTTTTGTTTGTTTTTTCGAAATTAAGTAAAGAGTCTTTTGTATAGTAAAAACCGTTTAGATGTATCTTATTTTTTGTTAATTTAGTCGATTTACCACGGCCTACAAATAAAGTAAAAAATAAAAAAAAAATAATTTTTAGCTTAATTTTCAATTATATTCCACACTTAACATAACTTGCACTTAATTTTCCAACACAGATACAACAAACTATAATTCAAAGCAACCCGCAATAAAGTTCTCGATTTCGAAAAATAAATTTACTACTTTCCTTTTTAAATATCTACCTGTTGTATTTATCAGTCTCATCATTAATAGTAGAGTGTTATATATGGTAGTATTTAAAATTATTTTTATAAAATTCACTTCTAGGTTGGTATCTTTATTTGCCTATTCGTTATTGCTCTATAACTGTGTTAACTTATAAGAAGATTTGTTGAATGCAAATGTTGTTTTCTGTCAATCACTTCAATTTAATTTAAAATTATTTAAAAGTATACAGGGTGACGAAAAAAAGAAGAAGAGGAATTGGCATAGAAAATTGTATAAAGAATGTTTATATTGTACCACAAGTTGTTTCAAGTAGGTCGACCAAACGCCGATGACGAACCTCGCTCTGGGCGCCCCAAGACGTCAAATAACTGATGAAGTGAAACAAATGGTGTTGAAAAATCGTCGAATCATTTTTTGATCAAACTTAAAAGTCACCTTACGTTGTGAACACACCTCGTATATTAAAATCCGAGAATATGGATCTAAATGTTCAAATCGTAATTGAAAAATGCTGAAATAGCTACGGATTCATTCAACCTTCCAAAGACAATGGGTCCGAGAGTAACCCCACACTTGCCACTGTTGTCCTTAGGAAATATAACATCAAAATCACTTGGTCAAAAATTTTTTAACATATCCTACGTTATCTATGAAACGCAAGTTTAAATTTGCTATTAAAGCTCCTGCTGCTTCCACCTATAGCTCCACTGGTTCTCCAACATATTCTGTAGCTAAATATTGAGCTGATATATTAAAACCCTTCACAGGGAAAACTGATTGTTTCGTACTTAATTATTTTCACTTCATTGAACAATTAAAAACCATTACATTAGATCCAATTCCTGAAACTTTCATCATTATTTTAAGATATATTAAAATTCAAGAATCAGAATCAAACTTTCTCATGTTATATACAAATATCAGAAATAGCTGTCTATCTGCTCAAAACTCTATACACCCCAAAATACGTCCAACCATCGAATTGGAAACTAATAATAATCTCCCATTCTTAGATAGTTTTTATTATTATATTATTATATATATTAAGCGTTCCATCACAAAATACACTTCACTTATACTGTTAAAACTAGATTTATCACATGTCAAAAATCTCTCAACATCTTCCATTTGAGACCCAGGAGTTCACAGCATTCCATGCATATGCGGCAAAGAATACATTGGAGAGACCCGACGAAAAATATCAACTGAGCTCAGAGGACATGAAAGAGCATTACGATTAAGACAAATAAACTCATGAGCAGTTGCCGAACACAATCACGAAAACGGACATAACATTTTATTGTAATATATAAATCAAATAAATAATATAACCGCGACTCCCGTCTTTACCTTAGTAATTGCCAGCTTTTAGTTCTAGTTGCACACTCCATTTTTAATCGTATTTCACAAAACAGTGGGCTCGTTTTTTTTTTAAACAAATAAACAAAAGCCTTCAATTTCCATCCGTGTTTCGTGAGAATCTGCGGCTCCGTTAAACGGCATTTTAAGCGTCTTATCCGTCCATTATGCATAGAGAACGAGTAGTAAATATGTATGGGTAGTCAGTAGGGAGTGTCCCTAATTATATCTGCTTTACGCGAGGTCGTGTTGTGCAAATGTTCGGTTTGCATGCACATGCTCTCCGGAATTCTTTCCTCGGATCTGGTTCTTTTTTGGTGTACCAAAGGTGAGGTCGAGTAGATATATGCGGGTCAGTCAAGGTCCGGCAATAGTTATACGGATGTATAGGAAGACATCCGCCATCCTGCACTTCAAATAAATGCGAATTTTAAACTCCCTAGCAACAGATTTCTGTAGCCAACTACCCTCCCCCATAAAACTTTAACGATGTTATTAGAGTTCTCCAAACGATGTACCGTGTTTACAACTTTTTATGGTTTTGACTTCGGAATGAGTTTATGATCCGCCTGTTGTAAAGCGGAAGGAACCATTCTTTTCAGCACGTGTATTATAAGCCAAGCACATGTACCAAGACCAGAATTGTGCCGTGCGGACTGTTGCATTGTGAGAGTAGAATTTTAAAAGTAAGAATGTATTTTTCACTGCATGGACTAATAATAATCGAGGAATCTCACTGATGAAACTCTACAGAAATCCCTCTGCTTTCAGCATTTGTGTGCGAAGTACCGAAGTACGGTTCTGGAACGTAATTGTGAAATTGCAAATCTATTTATTGAGGGTTCCAAAGAGAAACCCAAACGAGGTACGAGGTACGCCTGTAGTTAAACCATCATTAAAATTTACCAAAGTTAAATACCGGGCCATGTCGTAAAAACGGTATATCTTTTGGAGAACTCTACCTGCTGTTATTAGGAAAAGCCATTAACAAAAAAAAATATTCTTACTTGAATGACCGGACAGGGGTGGGCTAGGTATATTTCTTTCTTTCTGTTAGTAAAGAAATGAGTGTTGACCATTTGTGCCAGTGTTGAATAATCGTTTTCACTGTGCATTTCGAAAACGTTATTTTACGAGAATATAACAATGTCGTGTCGAAATCATTTGCGGATGCAAAACAGGTTGTGAAAAATGTGTATGAAACTTTATTTAGTAGAAGACTTTACTTTCGAAAATCGATGAAATCGAATTTTCGAAAGTATCTGCGCTCGTATAAAAATTTTATATCTCGGTAACGGTAAGTCCTACGGGATCGCCGTTGGTACAGAAATGATTTCCGTCGAAAAAAATAATTTTTGTTTTGTCTGTCCGTTCTCCGTTCTGTTCTTTTGGTTTTTTCTGAATAACTTTAGAATCGTTGGAGCTACACAATTGAAATTTCTCTCCTTTTTAACCCTTCACGATGTACATAAGCTTGTAAGAAATGGCCCTGATCCGACGCCGGTATCCATCTTTTTTTCGCGATTTTCGACTATTTTTTGGACCTTGCTATGAAACACGATAAGCGTCCGAAATTTGAAGCAATCGACTTCATATTTGGCACATATATGCACCTTTGCTCCGTGACGGGACCTGTTGAAAATGGGAGGGCTGGGTGGTCGAGAAGTATTCCAAAAAAAATAAAAATTCGTGTGTGCAAGGGTCTACAAAAAACATCATTTTTCAAAAACTGTTTACGAGACCAAAAAAATTCTTGAACCAGAAGACGCAGAAGATAGGGCTCGATATACTTTTATTTTTGACAATTTTTCAAAAATATACAGGGTGCCCCGCAAATTTAAAGAAATTGAAAAATGGGTCCCCCTATTATTGAAAAGTGGTTCTAACTGAAAGACTATGATTCAGATCTCACTTTCTTTTCTATTGCGATATAGCCCGCATAGACAGCAAAAACTTTTGTATTTAGGGTATTCACCTATTGTACAGGATGTTCCCGATATTCCGTGCTTAATGAGAAATGTGTTAAGTGTCATAAATTTGCAGATATTAACTTTAAAATTAGCAGAGAAGTAAAAGTCCGTGTCTACATTTAAACGCTAGAAATTGGGCGCAATCAAATTTTACCAAGTATAATTTTTTTATTTTTGAAAAAATTTTTTGGGTAATTTTAGCTTCCAGAAAAATATGTTGTCCTCCATAACCGTTCGCCCGATCGGCAAAATTCTTTAACCGGCAGAACGCAGAAGATCCAGTGCAGATGTGAAGGACATTTTATACAGGGTGCATGCACAATTAAATTACATCTATTTTGAGAAAGTTCCATAGTGGTCCGCAGAAGCACCATAGAAAGACAACGACACACGAAACCGCGAAGTTCTTTCCTTATGTAATAAACAGTTGATTCGCGATCTCAATGACGACTCCGATACTGTATAGATATTCCTAGCTATGAATTTATTGTATATATTTAATGTCGTTTTTTTTAGTGTAATTTAATAAGATACCCACGTAAATAAACAAAAAAAAATATTAAAACCAATGCCTAATGCCTACCGGACCCGAGTTTTACTGCCATGGGCAGGTAACTTCCATAATTACCGGCACGATGAAGATCGAGGCAGACTATCCTTAGAAAGTCTCAAAAAAAAATTGATTTTATCGAATTTGAGAAAGTGTCATGTAAAATATTGAAATCAAAGATATTAATTGTTGATTATCAAACCTCGAAAAAGGTATTTTTAAAAAGCAGACGAATTTCGCACCCGAGAGTCGCGGCCATTGCGCAAAACGATAAATCGCACTCCATCGGAAGTGAGATCAGGCGAGGAACCTGTCGATAACGCGTGGTGTGGTGGGGGGATTTCTCCCGGTTCACGTTTCTATCTTTCGACGGATCGGTTTCTCGTATTAGGCCCGTCATCAATCTCGGAAACCGATAAAATATTTTCCGGTATCGAGAAATCTCAGTTATGCGACGCTGCCTTTGTTTGTTGCAGGAAGGGACTGCCACACGGACATAGACGAATGCGCGTCGAATCCGTGCAGGAACGGAGGAGAATGCGTGGACCAAGTAAACAGTTACAGGTGCATCTGCCCCGTCGGGATTACCGGACACGAGTGTGAGGTGAGAGCAATCTGATTATACTTGCACCAGAATTACGAGGGCAGCGCAAAAGTTTCCCGGCCTGAATATGAAAGAAACAAAGTAGAGTTACAATTTTTTATTATTATTCAATGTAATCCCCCTTAATTCAATACACTTATTAAATCTCTTTATTAACAATTCAATCCCTTTAAAAATATATTCTTTTGGTTGGTCTGCAAAATGAGCTAAAACAGCCTCTTTTAACTCAACTTCGTCGTTAAACCGCCGTCCACGAAAGTCCCTTTTCAAATATCTAAACAAATAATAGTCGCTAGGGGCCATATCTGGACTATAGGGAGGATGATCTATCTGTTGGAAGCCACAATCTAAAATGGCAGTTTGTGCAACACCAGCAGTATGGACCGGTGCATTATCATGCAAAAGACTCACTCCTCTGATCAGTTTTCCTCGACGTTTTACACGTATGCAGTCTCGCAATTTATGTAATAATGTTGCGTAATATTTACCATTGACAGTGACAAAAGAATTCCTTCACAATCCCAAAAGATCGTAGCCATTACCTTTTTTGTTGACTGGCAGACTCTGAATTTTCTTGGAAGTGCTTCACCCTTGCCACTCCATTGATTCTTTTTTCGATAGAGGGTCATAATAGAGAAACATATTTTCATCTCCCGTCACAATAGTTTCTATCACAGAGTTCGGTTCTGACACACAGAATTCCAAGAAAGGCCGGGCATACTCGACACGGCGTTGTTTTTTAATTGCCGAAAGGTTTTTAGGAACCCATCTTGTACTAACCTTGTGCACACCTAAATAATCATGCAGGATTCGACGAACACTTTTTCACACAGATTTCTTTGACCGTTAAACGTTGATCACTCAATACCACCTCTTCCACAATCGCAACAATATCTTCCGTTATGACCTCCACCGGTCGACCAGTTCTCGAATCATCTTCAAGGGACTCCCGCACCATTCGAAAACATTTTGCCCATTCTTTCACTACAGAATTCGACAGAGAACTTTGGCCGTACACACTATCCAGCCTTTCTTTAATAATTTAGGTGCTAAGCCTTCTTTTGTCACAAACTTTATGACTGTTCTATACTCAATTTGCGTTATTTGCGACATTTTTTCGGACACGTCTTGTTTAAAATGCTGTCAATAAAAAACTATTTGACGTAAGAATTTTTTCTTCGCAGCCTACTAAGATATATATTTCAAAGAAGACAAATTTGTATCGTGATACTAGAGCTGCATCTATGTCAGGTCGGGAAATTTTGGCGCTATCCTCGTATAGTGCTTTTGCAACTCTGTGTCCGAGGGCGACAATAAACACAAAGCCATTGAGGTATACTTCCACCAGAAATATAGTGCTTTTGCAACCGACCCCGTGATTAGCTTTGCCTACTTTTTATTACTCCAAAATAGCAGCCCCTGCCGAGGAGACCCTTACCCGTAACCATTCCAGGAGCGACCTAGGAATCTATCTACCTACAAGCGGCATATAAATATGTTTTCAATCTTTTTTTTTTACATAGTATCATTATTAACATGCAAAATATTAAATCTAATAATAATAAAGTATCAGGTCACTTAAAAAATCGTCACTATCGCTACTGTCACCTAGTTCAATGATCGAAATATTTTCTTGTTTTACTCATATTACTCGTTTTTCACAGTTATACCTGCTTCGTACTGATATTTTTGCTACCTCTGGCCCAATTACGTTTATGGTACTACCACTAAATTTTGGTGCAGTGCTATTTCTTCTTATATGCATTTTCAACTCAGACCAAATCATCTCATTCGGGTTAAATATACAATGATACGGGAGTAATCTCAATATTTCATTTCCGTTTTTTTTTGCGCTATCGAATCGATATTGTAGTCTTTATTAAAATCTTTTATTTTTAATAATTTCAAAACCTGTTTTTTCGTGTTAATTTTTAATTTTTTCTTTATTTGAAGAAGTATTTGGAATTTTTCTTATTTGGGCTGAACGATACAAAGCATTATCCAACACAATAAGAGTATTTGCGATAGTTTTGGCAACAGTGTATTTTCAAACCAGTCCTTAAATATTTCCACCACGGTCTTTTGTTTTCATGGTAATTCTCACTTGAATCATTGACGTTTTTGGCAGACATCTTCCACCCAACCATTTTTGGACCCAGCATGAAGAATTATTGTGCGTTTTCCATGTGAAGGCGGCATGTCTAGTACACACTTGTTACTGTTATCACACCATTCTATTTTTACTGTTTCGTGAATGTCGAGGCACGTGTCGTCTAAATACACTATTGGCCTCTTTTGCTCTCGAAAATTGTCAATTGTATTTTAAATAATTCACCCTCCATTGCGAAATTCTTTTGAAATTCTATTAGCACTTGACGTTTACTAATTGTTTCTTCAAAAAAGTACGCAACAACTCTTTAGCACAACTAATTTTAAGCCTGCCAGTACTTTTTTATGCAGTTCTTCTAGGATTAAAACACTATTCACTTCCTGAGCGTCTACTACCACCATCTTCGCTCACTTTCCTCTTGACTATCCCATTTGTGAAATTGTAACATTCGAAACAATTTGTTTAGCATCCGAAGACAAGTGGATTTTTATTTGCTGAAGTAGTTCGTCTTCTACCATATCCACTAAAAGGAGAAGATCTGCTTCATTCCACGGTCTCCACATATTAAAGCGTTAAAAAACAGGAACCTTCAAAAAATGTTTAATTGTAAGCTTCTAATAAATATTTATCCGTATTCTTATGACGCACATATACAGTCTTAAAAAACAATCGAAAAACTATGTAGAAGACACAAAAATACAAGAAGAAGAATGTTGTTAATCGACAGACACACGAGGCAAAAATGATTATTTTCGAAATTACTTATTATTTTCAAACTATATTTTTGGTCGCACAATAACACGTTATTGGTTAATTACCCAACATTTTTTGATTTTTATTATTTTTTTTGCACTAGGAAATGTTTTATATTTCCTTGTTTCAGTGCAAAAATTGAGGTGCCAGTAATTATTAGCCAATGAATCCAAAATTATGGGGTTGATTTTTCAAAATTTTGCATTTAAAATCACCAAAAATAAGCAGCTAAAAAATTGCATCTAAAAAGCCTTCAAAAGCAACTGTATTAAATTTTTGTTCAATTATCCCAACAGATTTAGAAAATACGGTGTTTATCCTGTTAAAAAAGGTTAAAAAAGAAATATTTTATGTTCTCGTGTAAGCTAAATTAATATAAATTATTGAAAAAATAATTAAAGATGATTTTTTTTGTAAATTTATATTTTGTAGTTTTGGTTAGTTTGAAGGTATTTTACGAAAAATCAAAAGCCTTCAAAAGCAACTTTATTAAACTTTCTCAACAGTTTTAGAAAATACGGTGTTTATCCTGTATATTGAAAGCGAAAAAGTCGAGGAACCTACTTCATAAAAAGGTTTATTTATATTATAGGGTGGGAAAAAAATATTCAGCGCTAAGTTTGGTGACAACCCGTATAACAGGTGAAACAAGAAAATTTTTATATTCTCGTTTTAGTAGACACCCATTTAAGCTTGTTATCTTTAAAATAAATTATTAGGTATGACCGCCTAACCTGTTAAAAAAACATTTTTTTATTATACTTTATATAGTTTAAAAATTTTTAAAACAAAGAAACATTTCCAGGGAAAGGAAACACAAAATATCTAAAACTTAATTGAAAAAAGACAGTTAATACCGGACTTGATATCAGTATAAATTAAAATAAATTATTGAAAAATTAATTAGGTATGACCCCCTAACCCGTCAAAAAAACATTTTTTTATTATACTTTATATAGTTTAAGATTTTTTTCAATAAAGGAACATTTCCGGGGAACGTAAACACAAAATATCTAAAGTTAGCTGAAAAAAGATAATTGATACTATACTTGATATCAGTGAAGATTTTCATGAAATGAAGAAAATTTTCCAGTTAACATAAAATATCTAAAATTTAATTAAAAAAATGATATCAGTATAAATTAAAAACAGTTAAAAGTTTCTTTAAATATTGGACATTGGACAACTTGATATAGAAATAGGGTAATTATGCATCTTTGTTTTTTATTAAACATTATTTTTCATTTTATTTTACTTTCGTGTGTTGTTGCATAGAGAAATATAAATTTTATTAACTTATTTCGGAAAATGAAACAAAGTTTCACAAATTTATAACATTGCTATTACTAATTTTTATTTTTATTTTTTTATTATCGTTTGAACATACTACTTCTGTTAAAAAAAAAACGTGCATGAACGTTTAGATTTTTCTTCAATTTATAGCCAAAATTCATCAAATTTCGATTATTTCAATTTTTTTTATCACGTGTGCCCATGTAAAGAACCAACCGCTACAAATGTTTTTTCAATTAATAATAATAATTTCAATTAGGGACAAATCGTACGTTTGGCAACGTCGCGTACAACCGACACCGCAGCATCACAGCTGAGAATGAACTGTCTAATTTTTGATGTCAAGACGTGCGTGTTTTAATTTCTAAGCAAACAAATAACCAAAATTAAGCTTCGAATTTATTATACTAAAAAGACTAATGCAATAGGTGATACATATTATGTAGTGACAATTTAGTAGAAAGAATGCATAAATAAATGAACATTGCATAAATGGAATCTTGGTTTTAATATAGGTCTTATCAGATAGATCTATTCCGTTTGTACATTGTTATTGTCGTGGTTAAATACTGTCAAGACTTTAAACGATATCAATATCATTCACCTTAACAATAATGGTCATGAATTCAATTGGCCATTAAACGAAAGAAGAAGAATGCATGTTGTTAACTGATATTTGAGATTTTTATATTTCCAGAAACAGAATACAGTCAAAAATCTTTAAGTTGGTATTATTAAGTGGTAATTACCCAATACTGTGAGATTTGGTTCCTTTATAGGAGAAACTTAAGCATTGGGTTGTTCTGTGCTTTGGCAGATTAATTAGTTCAGTAATTGGAAAATCTCACTTTATTTCAAAAATATAAAACGCCACTAAAAGCGAAAAAAAAAATTAAACACTAATATGGCAACCGAAATTAAAAGTAAAAAAATAATAATTAATGAATTACACAATTTATCAACGGATTTCCACGTTTTTTTTTGGAACCTCACTTCCACATAGTAGGTTTCTTTGTCAATTAGTTCTAATGGTTACGACTACATAAGGTAATTCGGCCAGATTACAAAGGCAGGTAACTACAGACAAAAATTCCTAAAGGATAATTTCGTAATGAAAGGGCCTGGATTAATCCATTACAAACCTAGAGGTTGTTCACATATTCATACAGTAGACCAACTTGTAAGTAAATAGTCATAAAATGACTACAGATTCTTCAAAACGGCTCCAGCAATTATCTCATACGGGATATCCGATCCGGCCTGGTTACCAGCGTGAATGTGACATCCGGAAACCGTATTAACATATACATAATGAAATAGCATATCACATATACATCCTCTTAAGACGAACAATATTATACAAAATCTGCAGGCACTACGTCTTTATCACTTCGAATAACAAATATGCAAAACACTATTTTACATCACTAATTTCAACTGATTTCTTCATCTTTTTGGAACGGGGCAGGAGCAACGTCAGCTATGGTATAATGGTTCCCAAATCTCCATCTGGTGGGTTATGTGAGTGTTACTTACTAAAGCCCGAGCTTTCAAAAATCTTATAAATACTTTATAAACTTTTATTAAATACTTTTTAATAAATAATTATAATTATTATATATAATATTATGAATAATTGAGAGTGGGGCACGACGGCCAGAAGTTTCACCAAAA